AATTGATGCACTTTTTAAATGAAATGGGATATCTCTCAGTTACAATATGGTCAGGTAGTTTGTTCTATTCAGTGTTGCAAAGTACTAAGGAAGAGGAAAGTGTAACTATGGCACTGAAATGGTTCAATCTTGAAAGAATTATCTAATATGAATGATATGAAATGGGCAGCCCAGCACTAAGTAGATTGAAAATTGGAATCTGAGTAATATACATCTTAAAAAGAAAAAAAACAAACAAACACAATCAAACTATTTTTTGTCTTCTTTCTGGATTAGGAAGATTTATGCTAGCTTTTAAAGCGGAGACACTAGTTTCGGATGAATAATTACTACATATAAATCTGTCTGCTTTGTTCTGAAGATTCGAGCCTCTAGATTATAGGTAACTTAGGAGTGGATTCCAAATTATGCTCGCATATTCTAAAGGTGGGAGGATAAATGTTTTGTATGCGAGTAGTTTTGCTTTAATAAGAGCTAGATCCCTACTGAAAAATCTTATTTGTATGAGAAACTTCTGTGTCCAATAAACACATATGAATCATACAAGATATATAAGAACATATAAGAGCCCTATAAGAACTAGATTAGAATATAAGAAATTTGTAAGAAGTTTCTTATATATCTTATATAGTTCTTATATGGTTATTATATATCTTGCATGATTCATGCGTTTATTGAACACAAGAATTTTCTTGTACAAATGGCTTTTTTCACAAATTAAGTGTTTTTAGTGCACTATTTGTTATTTGCTCAATCCATGATAATGAGTCTGTAAAATACACGCCCAAATACTTGTACGACAGTGAGTGTTCTAGTGGTTCGGAAAGTAACAAGTACTGGGTTAGAGTTTTAGTGGAGGACTTAATTATGGACATTTCTTTGCATTTATATCTGTTAATGTTCATCTACCACAGGGAACACCATGGTGATATTGTATCTAAATCGTCTTGGACAATATTGTGATTAATAGAGGAGTAACTCAAGCATTAGCAAAACGTCTAATTGTCGATTTAATTGATAATGGTAGGTCATTGATATATATTAGAAACAATAGAGGCCCGAGTACACTACCCTTAGGGACATCTGATGCAACAGCAACGGGACCCGAATTGCCAGACAAGTATAAAAGTAATAACATTCTAAAATTGTGATGTGCTGGTTTGAAAAATGTATTGTACATAGTTTGAAAAATGTAGTGCACATATTTTGGCAAACTTTTCTTAGACCTGTGATCAACCTGCATAGGTTTAGCAATTCAAAGCACTCTGCCTGTTCAAATATAGTACTTGTTTTGCAGCAAGCAACCTATCTGGTTACTACATCGAAAAAACACCTGTGACCTATTTCTTGGCAATGTCATAATGTGAAAACTTTATATTTGCAAAAAAAGTACCGTAATACCCGAGCGTTGCCCCATATGCAGATGTACTTCGACAGTACCGAGTCTGTGAAACGACACAGTTAGGGCGGCTAAAAACGAGTTTTGCACACAAACAGAAGTGGGCATGGGAGCTTGATATTCAAAGTTGCTTGCATTTACGATGTAGAAGAGTCATAAAGAACAAATTGGTCACCTTTGAACACTGCGAAACGAGCCTCCTGGTATCCATAAGTTCTGAAAATATCCGTCTTCAAAAACATTTACACACATGCATCTTAGATGCTGTAGATTATGTGACACCGAGATACACAATACCTGTGCAGCATGTTGGCATTTCCGTTGTAGCACCATAAGATACCCAACAGACTGCTACAAGGACACCGATTATCTGCACACACACAAACACAGATTCACCGACTTCAGAGAGCAGTTAGTTGCCTTTGCATGAGGATGAAGCGCAAGCATATTGCTGGCCGGACACGAACTAATTTGTTTAGCCTTGACCTCTTAGCGTATCTTGCAACAAAGATTCCTCAGTTGAAAGTTTTCACTGCAGTCCAGCACATGCTTCAGCTCGAACTCACGATGGGTTCATCATCACAGGCGTCAGACATACTCTTCCTTGGTCCCAGTTCGCTTCTTGACATCCATGACGGTTGGCAGCGAGTGTCTTTGATCGAGTTTCAGCATTTCATTTCTTCTGTTTGGCATTCTTCGCATTAATGCAAACATTCATTTCGCTGCAGCATTTACACCAGCTTTGTCTTCCTGTGCGAGCGAACTGTAGCCAACTTGTTTCGTGCTGTCGACGCGGCCTTGCATTTTTCGCCCCTTAGGTTTTTTAAAATGGTGCAGACTGCACAGCTGGCCACATAGCCCAAGGCCGGGAGGCTGTGCCTTATTTTTTTACAGCCCAGGGCCACATTGCAGGTATACCACGTTGCAGGTAGGGCGTCAAGTATCCGCTCGCTTGGGAAGATCTTTCTAGTTTCCATTGCTAGCTGTAGTGACCGTTGACATTGTGCTCCACAGCAGTATTCTGTTTTCATCTTCGCAAATGTGCCTTGTAGACACGTGATATTAGAAGCAAGCCAGTTGCCTATACATTCCGAAGTACTCTTCTAAGGTGTCAGTTTTCAGCTTGTCCCATGGAGGCCGTACAGTAGCCAGAGTTCATCAAAGCAGTATCCGGGATGTGTGACCGCTTCTGCAGGAAATAGAACGAAAAAGGAGGAAATCATATTAACCTAAAGAAAGGTAATGTAATCAAAAATGGTTATAAAAAGAAAAAAAAAGGAGAAAGAATGCTCTTCTTTAAGCTGAAGTGGTCCCGTATTTGAGAGAAAACACTGGCAGTGTTTTGATCTGGTATTTTGGATCACAAACATGAAAATTATTCTTAAATTTGATGTGCCGAGTGCGCAATAATAATAATAATAATGATAATAATAATGCTTATTGCACGAGCACATAGAACCAGGTACAGAAAATAATAATAATTAATAGAGCTTCCTGGTGCGTGGTGGGTTTCCTTGGGGAGCCTGAAGCAGCTCCAGCTAAATCTTTAGTGTATGGCTCTGGTGTATGGATAAATAACTGATCAATGAACCATATTCCGGCTTGCATGCACTCCAAACTACAGCTCAGAGACCCGCTAAAATGTAACTCTTACTAGTTAGTTGTAGCGGATCATTTCTGCGCTCCGATGAGGATACGCAGAAAAGACACAATGTACTTCTGTTGTTGTTGTTTTTTAATTGATGTGCTGGTTGCAACCGCGGTAACGTATATCACTTGCGTACCTTGCGGAAACATTCCAACATGAACTCATAAATCGGGTCATTTTTATTTAGTTCTGCACCTGCAAGTAGCGCCAGCATTTGGATGTGTTGCTTCCAGGCCACAACCAAATCACTCCCAAGCATGCATTCAGCGAAAAGTAAAAACAAAGAACGAAACAACGATCATAAAAATTAAAAAGTTCTTACCCTGCCATGCCGTCAAGGAGCGAGATCTTCCCATCGATTCGCTGTATAGTCCACGCTTTCGTAGTCATCCTTGCAGAAATTCAAATATGGACACTTTCACATCCAGTTTTCCGTCAATGCACGGATAAACAACATCTGTACCGAATGACAGCACCGACCACGCATCGACAACCGAAAAGCAGCTTTCACTGCTTTCACGTCCACACACGAGGCCGCGAGAGGACATTCCAAAATGTGCTCGATCTCACTCGAGAGTTGGACTTCTGACCCTCGGCGTCCAAAAACCTACTCGCGTCGAGAGTTGTTCTAGTTGATTCCTCCAACCCGCAGGAGTAAGTAAAAAAAGCCCTCGAAGAAAGGAACGCGACAAACGACCGTTGGGGAGAAAAAGAAAAAAAAAAAAAAAAACGCGCCGCCGTGGCGCCTTTTTTTTTTTTTTTACGCCCCGTTGAGCGCAGAGAGAAAGGAAAAAAAAAAGAGAACGTGCATTGCAAAGAAGCCAACTATCAAAGGGAGCCTTGCGGAGAAGCGCACTACCAGTTCAGCCTACTCATGCCGACGCTCCTTGAAGGGAGAGAGGGAAGCGCTGCGGCTTTCCATTTAGGTGGTGTTGCCCAAGCCCCTCACTCACCCTCACCCTCACAGCTACACTCGCCTTCAGCCCCTCACTCACCCTCACCCTCACAGTCACACTCACCTTCAACCCCTCACTCACCCTCACCCTCACAGTCACACTCACCTTCAGCCCTTCACTCACCCTCACTGAACCTCACGGCCCTCACGCACTCACCGCCCTCACGGCCCTCACGCCCCTCGCTCACTCATGGCCCTCACGCCACTCACCGCCCTCACGGCCCTCACCGCCCTCACGGCCCTCACCGCCCTCACCGCCCTCATGGCCCTCACCGCCCTCACGGCCCTCACCGCCCTCACCGCCCTCACGCCACTCACCGCCCTCACGGCCCTCACCGCCCTCACGGCCCTCACGCACTCAGAGCCCTCACGCCACTCACCTGCTCTCACCGCCCTCACGGCCCTCACGGCCCTCACGCCACTTACCGCCCTCACGCCCCTCACCGCCCTTGCGGCCCTTACACCCCTCACGCCCCTCACGCACTCATGGCCCTCACGCCACTCAGGCCAGCTTCAGATGGGGCGATTTCGCCCAGAAACTTTACGTCGCAACACCAGCAACACGGGCCGCCCGCGATCACACGCAGCAAACAATTGCTGCAATTTGCCATCGTCATCATAAAATTTTATTTTTCTTGCACTATTTAGACACAATTACGCTTTATAAACGTGTTTTTATGCATTTAAACCTCGTTAAGAATTCTAATGCACCTTTCTGAAACTTTATTTCCCAAAAACGATCGATTTCAAACCAGAACCAAGTCTTTCGGTGTCATCATCACCGGCACGAGGTATCACGTGAAAATTTTGCATCCCTGATTGGATGCAGCCGCTTCAAACGTATTCGAATTGCTCCGAGTTGCTTGCTTATTTCGAGCCGGACCCGATCTCAGTAATACGTGTCGATCTAGGGAAAGCTAGAGAACAACCCGCCATTAACATTTATTTATTTTATTTATTTATTTAGAAAATACTGCAGATGGTTTTTCACCATCCAAGCAGGAAAGGGTTACATACGGTTTCAAACAGAGCAGTCAGAACAGTCAACATTTGGGTCATGCACACAATCGGTTACATAAGGTTTCGAACACAACAGTCAAAACAGTCAATATTTGGGGCATGCACACAATCGGAGGGCAGTGAATTCCAGTCGTTAATCGTACGTACAAAAAAGGAGTATTTAAACGTGTTATTTTTAGGAGCATATGGTCTCACGTTTTTTGCGTGATTCAATCTTGCAGAGCGCTGGGGAGGTGGCAAAAGGTATAAGGTTTTGTCCAGGCCGGACTCATTATTGTAGACTTTATAAAAAAAAACCAGCCTAGCAATCTTCCGCCTAGACTCGAGCGATTCGAGTCCGCAATTACGTATCATGTCCGACACTGATGATAGGCGCCTAAAATCGGAAGAAATAAATCGTCCACTGAGGCGCTGGATTCTCTCGACTTTTCCAATATCTTTTATTAAGTACGGGTCCCACACAATGTACGCGTATTCTAGCACTGGCCGAATCAAACTTTTATATGCCGAAAGTTTTACCGACGAGTCACATGGTCCCAGCTTCCGTCTTAAGTAACACAACTTTTTGTAAGCCTTTGCGGTTGTACTATCAATATGGGTTTCCCAATTTAATTTTGAATTAAGATGTAGGCCCAGATACTTTACCTCGTTTACAGTTTTTATGCATTTGTCTTTAACGTGGTATGCAAAGCTAAGAGGGTATTTCTTGTGCGTTACTGTGAGAGCGCACGTTTTAGAGTAATTAATAACCATTCGCCACCTCTCACACCATTCGGCAATTTTGCAAAAGTTTTCGTTAAGCGATACTTGATCGCACGTGTTTCTGACAGTTCTATAAACAACGCAGTCGTCAGCAAACATTTTCACGGTCACACTTGTATCAATGTTGTCGGCTATGTCGTTGACATAAACTAAAAATAAGAGAGGTCCTAAGACCGACCCCTGTGGAACGCCAGATAGCACGTCAAGATGTACTGATTGACATCCGTTGATTTCAACAAATTGTACCCTATTTTTTAAGTAAGCAGCGATCCATGTCACAAGGCGAGGAGCAATGCCAACCTGTTGCAATTTTATTAGTAGTAGGTGATGCGGTACCCTGTCAAAGGCCTTGGATAGGTCTAAAAATATTGCATCAATTTGTTCTCTGTTATTAATCGCATGGCCGAAATCGTGTACTACTGAGAGCAGTTGAGTAGTAGTAGACAATCTTTTTCTGAACCCGTGCTGAAAGTTGGCTAATATGTTATGGCTATCTAGAAAAAAACTTATGTGACTGGCGATGACATGTTCTAGCAATTTACAGCAGGTGCTAATTAATGATATCGGTCTGTAATTTTCAGCAAGCAGTTTGCTCCCATCCTTATGTACGGGTACAACTTTTCCACAAAGCCAGTCAGGTGGAAGACATCCCTGATCCAAAGAGGTTTTGAAAATGACATATAAATATTGTGAAATCATCTCTGCGTAACGTTTCAAAAAAGCATTTGGGATGCCATCAGGACCACATGATTTTTTTACATCTAGGTTTAAAAGTAGATGACGTATACCGTGGATGTTCAAGTCTATATCTCGCATTATTGGGAAAAGAGGTACTGAGTCAATAGTTTCTTCAGAAGTGCATCTTGAACTAAAAACACCATGAAAGGTGCTGTTAAACTCGTTCGCAATTTGGTAGGAGTCAGTAACAGCATTTCCATCCACATGAAGCTGTTCAATAGATTTCTTGTTGCCCGACAGGTACCCCCAAAACTTTTGAGGCGCTTCTTTCATAAAGTTTACTAACGTTGTTCCAAAAAAATGATCACGCGCCGTCTTTATTTTTTGTTTCAACGTCTCTGTGAGGGAAGATATGACATCAGCATTTTTACGATTTCCTCTCCGTTTCCTAGATAATGTCCTTTTAAGATGTATTATCTCTCTTGTTATCCAGGGGTTCTGATGTTTCTTTTTTACTATTTTTGGTACATATTTATGAAGGCACTTTCCAGTAATATGTTTAAAGGCATTCCATAATGTTGTAATGTCACCCTCCGTCTCAAAGTCGCTGAAGTTCAAATCAAGAGTATCAATAATAGCTTCGTCATCTGCAGCAGCGAAGTTAAAGACAAGTTTACCATCGTGACTCTTTTTTACTGGGCAAAAATTAGTCGTAAGGAAAACAAGCTTGTGGTCAGGAATTCCATCGTAAACGTTAACCTCAGTGTCCTCTGGAAAGTTTCCAACAAAAATTAGGTCCAGTGTGTTATTGCTATTTTGGGAGATACGAGTACCTTCAGTAACAAGCTGACTTAGATTAAAATTGAGCATTAATTCGAGTAGCAAGTGGCAGCTTTTTTCTTCAGTTGAGCCAGGCTGGAAAGTCGACCAGTTAATTGACGGTAGATTAAAATCACCCGCCAGTATGATTTTTTGAGTGGGTTTGTATATTTGTTCCATGTGAAGTTGAATGTTCTCTAGAAATGACTCGGGAGAAGATGGGGGCCTATAGACAACACCTACGAGAGTCGAAAACCCATAATAGTCGATTTGACACCATACACTTTCATTGTCGGTTATTTCGCTTAAGATGACGCATGAGATTTCCTTTTTTACTATCAAGGCAACTCCCCCTCCTCGAGAGCCACGATCACGTCTGATTATTTTGTGAGTGGGGGGAGTAACTTCGGCATCAAGTATATCTGCTGATAGCCATGTTTCCGTGATTGCAATTATCTGCGGATTATATGTAAGTATAATTTCTTCGAGCTGGTGGACTTTATTGACGATACTTCTGGCATTTAGTAGTACAAAACGTAACTGTTTCGATTCAAGTCAGTCGACGTCATTCCGTCGCTCCTGAGAGCGGATGCACTTCAGGCAGTCATTCTGCTCGTCCCATTCATATAGGTCGTCATCAACCCGTAGTTTATCATAGTCCAGCACTACCTTACGTCCTCTGGCTTTGAAGTCCCCAGATTTGGACCAAAGTTTGCTTCTTTTTGCAAGTGTACCCTTACAAAAGTCGTGGTTGATTGAGATTGTAGTTCCTTTTAATTTATTACAATTTTTTAGTACTTTCAGTTTTTCGTTATAGTCAAAGAAGTTTATTATCACAGGCCGCGGTTTGTCTGGTTGTTTTTTTCCTATCCTGTGGACTCTTTCCACCGAGCTAACAGTTACTCCAAGCTTCTGTCCTATTAAGTCCTGGATTATTTGGCTTCTTAATGCTTCGGTGTTTTCATGGTCGGGCTCAGGAAACCCGAAAATGACAAGGTTGCGGCGTCTACTCCTATTTTCTAGGTCGTCAAGGCGCTTTTGTTGGAGCTGGAGGTCATTTCTAAAGGATGTGACTTCCCCCTGCAGTACACGAATCTCTCCCTTGTGCTCCTGTAAAGCTGTCATAACTTCGTTCATCCTAGCGTTCACTGTTGATTCTAGCTTTTCCTGGGAAGCCGCCAGGTTAACAATTCGCGTTTTAAGGTCGTTCTGCGAAGTAAGCATGGCGTTCATCATCACCTTCAGTTCCTCTATCCCTTGAGGCCCAGGGTTTTGCTCGACATCTCCAGATAGAAGGATCAAAATGACACTCCATGCATCCACAATAAGACACTCAATTGTGGCCGGGCACGGCAGGACAACAATACATCTATAATTGCTTCGAAAGCAAGAAGCATGTTTGTCACAAACCTGAACAAAGTAGATAGACGGGCTTAGCGTTGTTGCCATTGCGGTCCCGCCGTGCCCTCTGAGGAATTCCATGGCGCGATCCTCTTTATATGCCTCCACTGGCGGCGCCGTCTTCAAACCGTGATGTGTTGGTGACGTTTCATGGTGCGCTCCGGGGTGTGCGCAGTTGATGCTCACTGCCGGCGGGTTCAAGATGCTGACTTCATTCTTGGGTGGGGTCGGCACGTGGTGAGTCAGAACACACAGCGTGACCTGAACAAAGAAGATAGACGGGCTTAGCGTTGTTGCCATTGCGGTCCCGCCGTGCCCTCTCATCATCAAAATTGCTGAGAAAGATGCTCGATCTGAAGGGGGCCTCACGCACTCACAGCCCTCACGGCCCTCACGGCCCTCCCGTACTCGTAGCAATCACCGCCCTCACGGCCCTCACGCCACTCACGGCCCTCACGCCACTTACGGCCCTCACGCCACTCACCGCCCTCACGCCACTCACCGCCCTCACGCCACTCACCGCCCTCACGCCCCTCACCGCCCTTGCGGCCCTCACGCCCCTCACACACTCATGGCCCTCACCACCCTCACGGCCCTCACGGCCCTCATAGCCCTCACCGCCCTCACGGCCCTCACCGTCCTCACGGCCCTCACAGCCCTCACGGCCCTCACCGCCCTCACGGCCCTCACTCACCCTCACACTCATGAATTTTCCTGGTTCAGAAACTCACTCACCCTCACCTCACCTGTGAAGATCAGGGTGAGTGAGGGTGAGTGAGGGCCCTCATGAGTGAGGTTTGCCGAGGTATGTTAGGGACACTGCCATTTTGCATATTGCCCATTCATAGCTGTTCAAGTTTCCCATGACCTCCAAGAGGAAGCACATTTTTTTTTAAGATGGTTTGTTTTGGGTGACTCGGTGAATTTTGTGAATTGCAGATTATCATGAAACAGCGAGACCATAGATACTAATGAGGGGCCACTTTTTGCCGAATCGAAAATTCGTTGCCGAATCTTAGGCCGAACAAAGCTGAATTTCGCCGATCTTTTTTAAACATTCGGTAACAATATTTTGTTGCCAAACCTAAAAGTTGATATTTTGTATTTTAGGCAAAAAAGGTTTAGGTTTCTTTTTTTTTTAATGCATATTGACAGTCATTACTAAATAAGGTAATATTCTGCAAGATAATTGCATAGGTGTCATTTTTGCAAGTTTACTGGCAACTTTAGCGACTTTTTGCAGAAGTGGTGTGACACCGAGGTCAGGTAGTAGCGATCACAGCACTATATAGCTCCTAAGAGCAGAACAACGCAATCCTTTGAATCTGCGTGTTTTACCGACAACATGGCCGACGAGCAGCTCGGCGCGAGTCATGTAGTACTTGGGGTTCCAGGAGGTGCCCCATTTATGGGAGAACATATGGAGATCGACGCAGCAAACACCGAGTTCACACTTTTCGAAACTAGTATGTCGTGAGGTTCGTAAAGCACTAAACACTTTATCAAAGTTTTCATAATTATGAATGCGTGTAAAAATTTTGAGAAGGCAATTTCCAAAGCAATGACTTTTGAAGCAGACAATTTTTTTACGCATCGGAGGTACTTTTTGGATTTGCTGGAGCGGGTCACGTAAACGGTGCAACAAGTTTTGTGCACATTTTCTGAACAGCGCGAGAGACCGTCAATGCATGTAGCTGCTTCTGAACGATCGTCCTCCACTGCACCACGTTGTCTGCTGCATAATGCTGCTCTGGCATTTTTTTTTAAAATTACGTTCTTATGTGGCTGGCAGCTTACCACAAATTATTGTTGTTATTCTTGAGGCAAAAAAAATATTGAAGAGAACCACACTCACAAAGGCTGACAAACACACAGTTACCATGTCGTATACTCCACACCTTACTGTAACCGCTGGTAGTACTCGACTGCCCGATGGTAACCGCACGGCGTCCATTTACAATCCATGGCTGCGTCGCATCTCACGCGTGTGTAGACATTTGACAAATTTTTAACACATTTTCAGTTTGGCATATCTGAATCCGAAGTTCAGCAGATTCGGTCCATCACTACTAGATACACACAGAGAGAAGGACTGGCCAAAACACGAGTGCCGACAGATTATGTTGCACGTAAATCCTAGTCAAGGGCTTTGTTCGCAGAGCCAGATTGGCTGGGAAGGCTCGTACACTACGCTGTTTAGGAACAAGGCTTGCTCTTGCTCCTTTAATGCACAAACGAGTTACCCAGTAAATGAATAACTGACATTCCTTTCAGTGGTTAAAATCAAAACTTTTTGCCAAGGCACAAATGAGAATGGTCGGGTCATAGGCAAATTCTAAGTGTGCAGGTCTTGGCATCTGCATCAGTTACTCTTGCAGATGCCCTGTGTAAATGCACTTCCAGCATGCTCCTTGGTGCTTGGCAAAAGCTCTACTGTCCGAACAAACCTGTGCATAGTCATTCGGCTTTGGCTAAAACTATTTTTATTTGTTTCCTCAAAGGTTAGCAAGGCATAATAGGTTGTATCTTTGTGAACCAGTGAATAATCGAGAAGAGACAATGTTGCAGATGGGAGAGGAAACTGTAGTGTAGACTGGAACAATATGCTTAGCTTTGTAAGTCTGAAAGGTATTGAACTTGTGCTAAATGTTTGCGCAGTCATGCACAGGGGCCCTGGTTTGGTTCATACAGTTCCAGTCTACCTCCTCGTTGAAATCCCCATTTATTAAAGACCAACAGGAGAGCTGCTTTGCCAAGGTGTAGCCTCTTCAAGATGTCTGTGGCAGCACATGAAAAGAAGTCAATGGAGTATTATGTGTGAGGGACATAAAAAAAAATATGCAGAGAGCATGTATTTTAATTCTCGTCTGTGGCGCATCGGAACACAAGGAGGGGCACACAAGCAATGGATAGCATAAAAAGCATGAGGAACGCACAATGACGAAGCAAGCAAGCACTGTCACTGGGCAAAATTAAAGGGGGCACAAGCATGTGGACGCATGCGGAGGAAGGGTAAACAAATGCACAAGGCGTGCAAAAGTCAGACAAACTTGTAAGTTCTAGGCGCACATACGCATAGCTTACCTCTCGAAACCTTTGGCAGAGTGGGATGGAGAGTATGTCGCATCAGAGTCTGGCATGCTGCTGGGAGCAGGAAATATGCAGTTGTATGGCACCTCGCTGCTGCAGTAGGGGACGCAGAGTCGAAAGTATCTAACGGTACTAGCTCCTCCACGACCAGGGAGATTCATCTCGACAGTGTAGTCCCTCTGTATCCTTTCTGCCTTGCAGGATGCAGCAGTCCAGCTGCTAAGACCTGCAAATAGCACTTTTATACGACAATGTTTTTCACAATGCCTGAATTATGCAATTTGGGCCATCGATAGTTTCTAACACTTGGAAGAATGGAGAGTTGGGCGAGTTGGTGGGAATTCATCGTAGGAAACAGCAAAAACAGACGAGGGCGTAGAAGAATCACACGAGACGAGCGCTGCGCTCGTCCCGTGTGGCTCGCGCACTAGAGCCGTTCAGTGCGCGAGACACTCGTGGGAACCGGCACGACAAGCACAGGCACATCACAAGGCGTCTTATTCGGATGACCTAGTGCCACTAAATAAGCTACGCTTCAGAGTAACGACACTTGGCCATATTGTGGCTTAAAATCATGGTTGCCAGTTATCTGAAGCTTTATCTGAAATCGCAGGAAATGCTTTTCCGCCCTCCGCAAATGTTTAAACCGTTCGCGACAGAGCAAAGCAGTATTACATGACCTTCCTAACACCGAATCTAATGATGAGGAAGTCGCACTTTTGAATCATGACGATCGGCCGTTGCGTCTGTTCTGCATACGAGCCAAAATGGCGGCGCCCACAACAATGTCGGGGAACGGAGTGCCGATACTCTAAGCGCAGCTTATATAGTGGCTCTAGGATGACCGGTTTCCACATTCGCTCGTTTCGCCGTGCTTTGGCTGCGCATACACGCTCCAAGCTCGTGAACGAAGCGTGTTCTCAGTTATGAAGCCCGAACCGGCAGGCCGGGAGAAAAAGAATTCCTGCCGGTGGCTTGCGTGATGTGGCAGCTGTTTGAGAAAACAGAGCCGTGCATTCTGGTCCAAGTAAATAAACTGCACCGCAGAACACGACGGCGATGACTGTGCAGGCGAGCTGGTGGATGCTGATCATGTTCAAAATTACCCGAGTCTGTGGTAAAAAAAACAATACCTAAGTCCTAGGAAAAAAAAAAAAAAAAAAAAAGATCGTGACGAGGCTTAGATGGACATCGGCTCCATTCCGGTAAGGGCAACATTGCCTTTTGTGACCCTGTACGCATCGGTAATCCTCCCCCCACCGAACACAAACAAAGCGGTAGTATCCTTTTGATTCAGGTAACGTCATGTTCGCAAACTTTCGCATTCTGTCGCCATCACTAGTGTCTCGGCGATATTCAGCTTTTTACGATGCGCAGTTTATTTACGCGGATCGAAAAACACGGATCTCTCTTCTACAAAACAGGCTCAGTTTCGAACACGTATGTCACGCAGACTGCTGCACAATGCGACGTTCATGAAACTCAAAAAAATCACCAAAACACTTACCAGGACTCTTTCGCGGGTTCCTTGCTCTGTCCCGTCGGCGACGGGAAGCAGAACCGTCGGTACAGCAGACTGATGGCGTCCACAACTACGGCCACCGCTGGCGAATGCCTCCAAGTTGTCCGCACAGAAACGAGGAATGTGGAGGAGGTCCTCGGTGGTCGTTTTCTTGCCTGGTGCAATGTAACCATTCGCGTCTTCGCGAACCTTGCTTCGAGAACGGGATGAAGTGGGAGCCTCGGGAAGAACACCGGCAGACGACGGAGTTGAACTTGACGGAGCGACGCAGCCGCGTCGCCGCGCGGGAACATCACTCCCGCGTAACAAGGCAAGGAGAAAACATAGTTCGCTCGTTTTCAATCAATAATAGCTGTATCCCTACTGAAAAAAACCATTTGGCGCTTGTATGAAAATAAACGGGTCCATACCGGTAACAGTTTAGCCATACCGGTCACCAGTTTGCCAAAGGGGTCGCCCGTATGGCTTAAAGGGGTCCCCCGTATGAGCCATAACGGTCACCTATTTGGGCAAACTGGTCACTTCTTTGGCAAACGGGTCACTCGTCGGGGCAAATGGGCGACTCGTTTGGGCAAAGTTGTCGCACGTTTGCTCAAACCGGTGAACATGTTGCACAAGCGGGTGACCGGACCGTCAAACTGTACCGGTTTAATCAAACGGCTCTTTGGAGCCCGTTTCATATCGAACT